CCTTCATGTTAGGTCAGTGGTCACCCTTCACGTTTAGTCCGTGGTCACCCTTCATGTTAAGTCCGTGTGTTGATTATTCTCTCTTTTGAAGAGGTTTACAGATTTTGTAGAAAGTCAACGAGGTTAGTAGTCCTTCACTAGCTCAGAATTTCTGTGTTAGTGGTTTGTTCCAATGATACGTGACGAAATTATGGCCATTTTCATATCAAGACATATTGTGGCATTTTGTTTTTCTGTGCTGGATCTAAAGTTCTATATGACGTACAGTAAAAAAGTCGATAGTGTGTTTGAGTTTTAGTTTGACGATAGATTTCCTGTTTTATCAGATTTGTCTATCGCCTTAAGATTAGTCGCCAGCTCATATTTTACCTGAGGATTAAGCACTCTTGCACTACCTGGGAGGTTAGGTTAGGTTAAGTTAGTTAATCTTGAGGTGAAATAAGCTAGGGCTAATCTTCACGTGATTTGATATATCTCCAGTGAGCTCAAGTGCTTGGTTACCAGAACAAAACCTTCAGAACACCATAAGCGACAGGAATATTGTATGAGAGTTTCATCTCGGGCGATCGTTCACTCAGCAGTGGACCGTGCTGGTATCATTTGACTTAGTGGGTATGGATTTTTAACACGAGTACTTAACTTATGATGTTTGTGGTTAAAACCTGACATGATTTGACAGAAGGTACAGTATATAAAAAGTAAAGGTAAAAGTCCTATGTCGGAGGGAGACTTGTGTAGTTCAAGTTACAAAGGTTTACAGAATGTGATTCATCTCACATAAGAGCATAAGAAAATAAGGAGTCTGCAATAGGCCGATTGGCCTGTGCATGGCAGCTCCTGTCGAGAGTTACTACCACTCTCTATCATCCACGACCTTCACGCAGTTGGTGACACCCTGCAGAGCCATATCCCCACGGAGGCAGTACGCATCCCCCGTTGCTGCGAAGCCCATGGGTCCGCGGCAGTGTTGGAAGCGGCCGTAGGGCGTGATGAATGTAGTGAGGTGGCGATCTTCGTTCGTACCAAGTCCGCCTCCCCAGTGGTCGTGTGTGGTGGCGAAACAGACGCCATCTCCGCCCAGTGCCATCCTCTAGTGACGAACCTTCCTCCCCGTCCCCTGTGTCCCCTTGCCCAGACCAGGAACGAAGGTCGTCAGTTGATCCTCCCATTGTCCCTCGCCGCTCCCCCCGACTCATGGAAAAAGAGTCCGTAGCCGCTCGAGATTGCACTACGAGCGTAAAGGGGGAGGGAGGTGTATAGATATGTACATACCAAGATATGTGAACACGCCTGACACCAGGACTCTTGTTACCATTCATTGTACCATTTATTCACATGTCTGTATTACTACATATTATTATAGCATGTCTGATGTCCATGCTTATGTCTAATGCCTATGTTCATTTACTATGTCCCGATGTACTATGTCTGTACCGCGCTAGTCGAGTAATTAGAAGACCTCATTTATTGTCCTAGGAATGTCTAGCAACTCCCCTTGCCTGGCTAGCTAATTTCCCTCAGATCGGCCTCGGCCTACCTACGGTCCGGGGTCCCTAGTAATCGCTCCTGTATCGGTTGGCTATCACGCCCAGCCTTGTACCACTTATCGAATATATCTACTGCTCGTGCCCTGGAGTTTCAAGAACCTTGTCTAGGATTACATCCACCACACCACAACTACCACTCTCTATCATCCATGAATCTATCTAGACTCCTTTTAAAACTTTCCAGACTTCCCGCACTTACTACAAAGTTGCTAAGCTTGTTCCACTCGTCCACCACCCTATTTGTGAACCAGTTTCTTCCTATCTCCCTCCTAAACCTAAACTTATCCATCTTGAATCCGTTGCTCCGAGTCCTATCCTGCTCGGATATTATAAAAACTTTATCTAAATCCTCTTTATTGATTCCCTTCACCCACTTAAATACTTCTATCATATCTCCCGCACTCTTCGTCTTTCTAGGGAATGCAAGTTAAGTTTCTTTAACCTATCCTGATATGGAAGGTTTCTAAGTCCCGGAATCATTTTTGTCATTCTTCGCTGCACCGACTCTAGTGAATTTATATCCATTCTATAATAGGGGCACCAGAACTGAACCGCATAATCGAGGTGTGGCCTGACTAGCGCAAGATATAGTTGCAAAAAGACCTCTACACTCTTGTTACTTACACTTCTAGATATAAAGCCCAATACTCTGTTTGCCTTATTTCGAACATTAATGCACTGTTTTCTAGGCTGTAGGTCCGGGCTTACAAGTACCCCTAGGTCTCTCACAAGTCGACTTCACTAGGTTGATGTTGTTAAGGCTGTATACATTATCAGTATTTGTTCTTCCAATATTAAGTACGCTGCACTTGCTGGTGTTGAATTTCATTTGCCATTTTTCAGACCACCCCTGCAGTTTATTTAGATCCTCCTGTAATGCATTTGCATCCTGCCCTGAATTAATCTGCCGCCCTATTTTGGTGTCATCCGCAAACTTGCTTATGTCACTGCTGATCCCAGTATCTAGATCGTTTATGTAGATTATGAACAAGAGTGGGTCTAGTACTGACCCCTGGGGAACCCCACTGGTTACACGGTCCCACTCAGATTTAACACCATCTACGCTGACCCTCTGCGTTCTATCGGTGAGCCATGATTTTATCCAATTTAAAACTTTCCCCTCGATACCATGAGCCTTAATTTTTCTCAAAAGCCTCTGATGTGGTACTCTGTCAAATGCTTTGCTAAAGTCTAAGTAAATAACATCGTATTTTCGTCATTATCTGCTACCTCGAAGACTTTCCTAAAAAACGTCAGCAGATTTGTTAGACAAGATTTTCGCTTTGTAAACCAATGTTGAGAGTCGTAGATTAATTTGCTTTTCTCTAGATGCGATCGGATGCTATCTGCTATAAATGATTCAAGAAATTTCCCCACTACTGACGTCAAACTGATCGGCCGGTAATTTGACACTAATGCTTTGTCTCCCATTTTTAATATGGATACTACATTTGCCTGTTTCCACAAGTCTGGCACAACTCCGGTGTCTAATGATTTTGTAAATAAGTTTACGAGGGGCCCGCTAATCTGTTCCCTACACTCTTTCAAGACTCGAGGGAAAATTTCATCCGGCCCTGGGGATTTTGTTTTCTTTAGTATATTTATCTTCTTAAGAACATCCTCTTTTCTGATAGTGATATTCTTTAATTTCTCTTCTTCCTTTCCCTTAAGTATCATTTCCACCTCTGGAATTTCATCGCAAATTTCTTCTGTGAAAACTGATAAGAAGTAGCTGTTCAATGCTTTGCATATTTCTTCACTTTCATTTATCACTTCTCCCCTCCCTGACATTAAAGGCCCAACTTTGTCCTTGACCTTTGTCCAATAAACCTGGAAAAATCCCTTGGGATTCACCTTGGACTCTCTTGCTATTTTGACTTCATAGTCTCTCTTTGCTTTCCTTACATTTTTCTTAACATTCCTAGATAGTTCATTATACCTATTTCTGAGCTGCTCCTCCCCTCCCTTTATTTTTTTATAAATTCCTTTCTTTATTCCTATGTCATGTTTAAGTTTTCTGGTCATCCACCTTGTCTCATTCTTATTTGACCTAATTTTTCTGTATGGTATATTTTGTTCTTGTGCTTTATGTAGTATACTAGTGAATATATTATAGTCATGATCAATTGTTGTGTCATCTATGACCTCACCCCTTCCTACTGGGGACTGACGTGACTGTTCCCAGGTCACCTCACCTAGGTACCTTCTTAACCCCTGATAATCCGCCAACCGAAAGTTTGGGACTCTGAACACATTGTCATTGTTTTTCGTTTCCCAATTTAGGGTGAACCTGATTTCTCTGTGATCACTGTTACCTAGTTCTTCCCCTACTGTGATATCTCTAATAATATTTTCTTTATTTGTTAATACTAGGTCTAATATATTGTCACCTCTAGTAAGTTCTGTAATTAGTTGTTTCAAAAAATGTCCTGTACTGCGTCTAGGAAGTCTTCAGATTCATAGTCACCTACAATCTTGTCCCAGTCAATATTTCTGAAGTTGAAATCCCCCATAATGCATAGGTTGTTATATTTTGCTGCCCTACTCATTTCCTGTCAAATGGGCTGAGCTGCTTCTTTGTCAAGACTTGGGGACCTGTAAATCACTCCCATGATTAGTTTTCCTCTTCCTTCCGTGATTTCTACCCATACAGACTCGGTTCCTATTTCACCCTTTATTGAATTATTAATACAACATTTTAATGTATCCTTGACGAAGAGTGCGACCCCTCCCCCCTTCCGACCTTCCCTGTCCTTGTGAAAAAGGTTGTACCCTTCTATGTAGTACTCTGATAAAAAAATTTTGCTCGCCAGATTCATCCAAGTTTCGGTGATTGCTATGACGTCTACATTCTCGGTACATAAAACCGCTCTCAGCAAGTCTATTTTATTTCTAACGCTCCTACTGCTTGTTTTTTGACTCCCACTTTCCCCGACCTCTCTCTACTGGCGAAATCCCCCCTTTGGAGTAACAATTTCACGCTCCAGGGATGCAGACAACGTCTTTACCCCCTCACGAGACAAGTGTATTCCATCGCGACTGTACAGGTAGTCGTTGCCATAGAATCGTTGCCAGCTATCAATGAATGTCCAACCATTGTTTGCACAATGTTTTTCCAGTCGGCAATTTATAGCAATTGCCCTGGACAGCCATTCACGACCAACCCCTCTTCTAGGCAAGACACCACATACTATTGGGATCCCTCCCCTATCTCTAATCTTCCCCGGCGCCTCCCTATACCTCTTGAAAAGTTCCTCACTCCTAACCTTACCTATGTCGTTTCCTCCCACACTAAGACACACTACTGGATTGGTACCCTCCCTTGACAAAACCCTGTCTAACCTCTCAGCTACATGCCCTATCCCAGCCCCAGGAAAACACACCCTAGTCCTACGTTTCCTATCTCGCACAAAAAGTCCTCTCACACAAAAGCTTAGGCTATTGAAAGATTAGTTCATTTAGTTCACCTGAATGATATCAGCTGTAATTAAAAAAAAAAAGATGGCATGTAACTATGCTTTCAAATACATTTTTTTTGCGTACATTTGTTTTCTAGTTATTTTATTGAATTTGTGAAGGGTATAAATTGCCATCGTTTTACAAAATAATATTGCTAGGATGCTAAATATGATTGACCATACAGTGAAAAAAATATTGTTCAATACTAAGATCTTGTATGCAACTCTGCAACAAGTGGTACAGTACTGTACACCTTACGAGTACAAGCAACAGTAAAGGCAGAAATATCCTTCAAGAAAATTGTATTTCTGTACACATTTTCTATACTATCCTCAATTTTGTTTTGATTTCGAAGCTCACCTCAAGAATGTTCAGAAATCAACCTGTTATACAGCGCTGTGCACTACAGTAAATCGGTTAGTAACACGGGACCGTTCTTCGAAATCCTCCAGCTCCTGCTGGGCCTTACGGAACTTGGCCAAGTTTAGAGCAGCAATCTCCTCCGCCTCCTCTACTTGCCGCCTATACGATGACGTTTTCTGCTGCATCTTGTCGACAAAGTTTTGCATCTTCTCATGATTCCTTCTTTCTTCATCAGATTGGAAGGTGATCTCCGTTATGCGCTTCTCGCACTTCCTTAGGTTACTCTGGTCTTCTGCGTGAAGGCGACGCTCCTCATCAAGATGACCTTCCAGTTCGCGGATTCGGCCTTCTAGTCTATTTACAGTAGTCTTGCCAGTCTGCTCGATAATGAGTTCACTTTCCTGAAGACGAACTTGCAATTCTCTGACTGCTACTTCAAGGCCCTTGCGAGTCTTTTCTTGAGTCTGGGAATGTTCCTGTTCAACACGCAGTTCGTCGGCGAGGTGTGAGGCATCAAGCATGGCCTTCTTAGCTTTATCCTCAGAGTTGCGGGCCTCGGTTACCAATTCATCTAGGTCAGCCTGTTATAAAGAAACACGTGCCACATTAAGAATAGTAAACAAAATATTACACACACTAGTCAGTTATATGTAAGTCATCATCTGTATCACATTTGCTTTTACCTGGCGAAATAGTTATGCTTACTTGAAGAGTCGTAACCTCGCTGTCTAGTTTTCTCCTTATGGTTGTTAGAGCAACGTGGTCTGTTGTCAGTCTGGTAAACCGTTGTTGAATATCAGAAAGTTCTGTTTCAGCCTGACGACGGCCACGGTCAGACTGCTCGAGAAGTGTGCGGGATTCCTCTAGGTCCCCACTAAGAGAGTTGATTTTACGTTCAGCAATATTATATTGTTCGCGATATTCAGTAGATGTGCGTTGTTCATTCTCAAAGCGATGTTGCAAGTCACTGAGATCATTTTGATATTTTTTGCATTGTCTCTGCATCTCGGTATTAGCCTTATTAGAGTGGTCAAGTGCAGCCTGTAGTTCGTTGATGTCTGACTCCAGCTTTTTCTTATTATGAAGAGCCTCAGCCTTTGTTTTAGCCTCAGCTTCAAGTGAACTTTGCAAAGTTTCGATGGCTCGCTGATGGCACTTCCTGTGAATCATAGAAGAAGAAACTCATATAATAACCGACTATTTAGGTATTTAATATGTTCTGGATAGTTAGAAAGATTATACACAAATCATAGTGGACAAATATTTAACTTACCGAGTGCTGTCGAATTCCTCTTCTTTTTCCTGGATTCGCCTTTCAATTTCTTGTCTGACTTGATTTAGTTCTACCTGACCACGGAGCACTTTGTTCTCTTCTTGCTCAAGGGCGGACTCAGCTTCTTCGAGAGCAGCCTGAAGCTCCTCTTTTTCGAGTTCAAGACGTTTGGCTGTTTTCTGAAACTCATCAAGAGATTTACTTCCGTTGTTTAGTTGATCCACCAAACTCTTTATCTCATCAGCAAGATTAATATTCTCACGACGAAGAGAATCGAGATTCTCAAGATTCTCCTCATAGACGGTCTTGAAATGGAAGAGTTCAGAAGTGCAGCTGCGGCACTCCTTCTGCGAGGCATCAAGTTCTGCTGCAAGGTCGTCAACCTTCAGCTTCCATTCACCAATGATTCTATCAAAATTCTTTTGTCTCTTTTCAGAAGCAATTGCCATGGACTGGGCACGGTCAACCTCAACTTGTACCTGCTCAAATTCGGAGGTAATGTGATGCTTATTCTTCTCAAGGTTCATATTTCTGACGTTCAGTTCTTCAATTTGCGCTTCAGCTTCGTCAAGTCGGGCAATAAGTTTCAAGCGAGTAGCTTCAAGTTCTTCTGTTTTGGCAACACCCTCTGACTCATATTTAGCCCGCCACATTTGTGCTCCAGCAGTAGCCTTGGAAAGTTGACGTAGCAAGTCGGACTTCAAATCATTTTCTTCATCTAGTTGTTCTCGAAGTCCTTCAATATCAAATTCCAGGTTGCGGTACTTTCCAAGAAGATTGGCACGGTTCTGGGGGAAAGAAGGCAATGTTCTTACTTCTACAGTTAATTAACTTATGACTCACAATCAACCCCCATTGTACTAAGCATTCTCATAAATAGAGGAATTTCTGAGAAAAAAAATCTGTAACTCAATATGAGCTTCAGACTGGCTGCCACTCGTAAATCAGCCAAACTTTTTAGACATCATTTAAAAGAAACATTTACTCTGTAATATTGTTAAGTACCTATTCATATCGCATCAATTCAGTAATGTTGCTAAAAATTAAATCACGGAATGTCAGACCACTTCTCATTAGGCACTGTGTTAAACAAAGTCTTTTGCTAGTTTTATGTCGATCTATATTCTCTTGAACTGAAATGTTTGCATTCAACAAACACTTTTCATTCAATTTCCTATAAGGAAAATTATGAAAGGTATGATATGGCTTACTATCTCACATTCAATCCTCGCAAACCTGCCTTGAAATTTCATAAGGCTCATGATTCATTAAATTGATATAAAACTATAAATAATAACTAAGAAAATTACTGTTGAATATTCAGAGAAACTTAATGAGTTTGGTCACCTGTACACTGGGCCTAATGGTTAGTAACCTGAGGCTCTGCGTTCAAGAACCGAGACTCTTTGATCCATAGGCACACTTTTATTGCCCCCTGTCCATAGAGACGACCATAAGCAAACTCATTAGATCAAAGAGAAATTGACTGAATCATATGATAATTTGAGTCTTTTTTTAATTAATTTTATACATTCAAAATCTGTATGCATTAATATTCACTCTTTTATTGTTGAATTTGCCAATCATCTATTCACGATATAATTCCGATTTACACTGAAAAGGAATTAAGGTATTTAAATATGTGCTTGTAGTTTTAGACAGCTAATTACATTCTCAACAACTGTACAAACACAGTAAACTGTGTATGAGGACTTGAACACATTGCCATGACAGTGGCCAAATCAGCATCAAGGGGAGGCGCTGGTCTTACCTTGATTTCGGCGTCGGCAAGTTTTCTGGCATCACTGAGTTGGTTAGTCAGTGATAATTTGATTGTGCTGAGCTCTCCTACTTTCCTCTCACTTTCGTCCAGTTGGCGAATGAGATCAGAATTTTCATCAGCAAACTTCTTCTTTGAGAGATCATAGTCACTGATAGTACGAAGAGCTTCCTGAAGCTTGAAGTTAATTTCGTTATTTTGATGAGACAGCTGTTTGTTGATTTTCTCAACATCTGCCTGAAAGATGAGGTTGGTTAGTATGTGTGTCTGAGGTGCTGCCCCTTATCAAGTCTCGGATATCTCTAGTCTATTATCTTTGACCATCGTAATCGTACAAAGAATAAAAATATTATTCCCAGATTGTTTTATTAATCCTTAATGATTTCATTAGAATTATAATAAGAAGACTCAGACTTTATCAGACACAATTAAGCTGTAATTATCAAGCAAGGTCAACTGACTCAAAGGGTGGTAGTTAGCCAGTACACGCTACTGGGAATATGATACATGGCACAGTGAAGTTAACAACACCAAGAGGAGTTTCACTACAGCCGAATTCCCAGCAAAAAGTTAGCTACGTCCACTTAGTCTGGCGACTCCAGTAGCGTTGTGACAGTACCATATACACTCGGAAATCTGGTAGATGGCTAATGTGTTTTTGCATCATCCAATACCTGTTACAATATAACAAACCAACATGATGATGTTGACTACAGAGAAGACATTAAAACTGTCAGGTATAGGTGATTAGAAGCTCTGTACAACCTTGTTTTAATAAGATCAGTAACGCATAGTACCTGGTTGAATGACGGATAGAAATTTGTAAAAAGTTAGGTTATAAATGAATTGATTTAACAAAAGGCCATACAGTTTGTCTTCGAGGTACTGGAGGAAGTCCCCAGACTATATTATTTCGCTATTCGCTTTAACCTTATTTAAAATTATTCAAAATATATAAACTATTAATTAGATCATGATAAATGGATAGCTGAAAAAGATACCATAAATAAACAGACGAAGAATCAAGGAATTCTCTTTATTTAATTTTTACTTTATTTTCTGTACTTTTGGTCCCATATTATAACCAGAGGTCAGTGATTACCTTCTCGTGGGCGAGACGGTCTATGACGGCCTTGCTTTCCTCGGAGGCAGCCTTAAGAGATTCCTTGTCCTTCTCAGCCCTAAGTGGGGGATTATATAACAAAATAATCAGGAATTTAATAATAATAATAATAATAATAATATATATATATATATATATATATATATATATATATATATATATATATATACATATATATATATATATATATATATATATATATATATATATATATATATATATATATATATATATATATATATATATATATATATATATATATATATATATATATATATATATATATATATATATATATATATATATATATATATATATATATATATATATATATATATATATATACATATATATATATATATATATATATATATATATATATATATATATATATATATATATATATATACTTAGTTCAAATTTGATTAATCTAAAATGTACATTATCTTCCGTTTTTATATTGTACTTGTATACTGGCAACATGAAGGATATTCGAGAAAATTATAAACTCTACACGATCAAGGATCTTGAATATAATAAATGCTTTCACACACACGCTGTGGATAAAGTGTGTGTGTGTGTGTGTGTGTGTGTGTGTGTGTGTGTGTGTGTGTGTGTGTGTGTGTGTGTGTGTGTGTGTGTGTGTGTGTGTGTGTGCGTGCGTGTGTGTATGGCAAGTTTTTCTGTGTGTGTGCGTGTTTGAAAGGTACTGTTCAATAACCAAGTCTTGGGCACACATGAAGACATTTATACTAGCATTCAATGTACAGCTGTAATCACTATTAACCCTTGTTCTGTATTAACAAGTTACCTGGCTTTTAATTTGTTGACGTGAGCGATCTGTTCAGTCAATTCACTAACGCCATCAGAATGTTTCTTCCGAAGGATACTGAGGGCAGATTCAGTCTTCATGTTGTTTTCCTCAATCTCTCGGCGCAGCTTGGCCAGCTCAGCCTCCCGTTTTTTGTTCAACTCAATCTGGGCAGCTGTGGCCCCTCCAGCCTCCTCCAAACGATCTCCTGTCTCTGTGAGCTCCCGGGTTAACCTAGTCTTTGCTTGTTCTGCCCTAATACGGGCTTGACGCTCTTGCTGATATTCTTGTTCAAGATTATCCAGACGTGTTTGAAGTTCTTTGTTCTGTCTGTTGAATTTGGATATTATCCCCTGTTCTTCCTCAACCTTAGAAGTGAGATCGAAAATTTCTTTATCCTTGCGCTCAATAGTACTCTCCAGATCCTTTCGACTGCGTTCGAGGTCCCTTACAGTTTCTTGAGTCAGTCTAAGATCACTGTCAATTTTCCGTCTCTGTTTATCTCCCTCCGCACGGTTCGTCTTCTCGCGATCAAGAGACTCCTCAAGCTCGTCTAGTGTTTGCTCGAGCTTGGTTTTCACATTGTTAAGATGAGTGCATTTGTCCTCGACACACTGAATGTCCTCAGCAGTCTTTTGGTTGCATTCTTGAAGGTGTTTCTTCTCTTTTTTTACTAGATTAATAAGTTCTTCCTGATGGGCAACTTCATCAGTAAGGGTTTTGATTTGATGATCCCTGGCTGCCTTGTCTTCTTCTAACTGAATATTACTGCTTTCAAGATTACCCAAAGTCTTTTTCAAGTCTCTAACCTCTTGTTCTATTTCTCTCTTACCCTCACCAACTTTCTTGCGGGCATTTTCTTCTTGCTGAAGACGCTCAGCAATGTCCTGTAAGTAACAAAAAGTAAATAATTATGGAATCTTTCAATAGAAGATATAATAATTATTGTGAAGTATATTTAAAACCAAATTCTTACTTGTAAATATGTACATTTTATATTGCATCAGTTTATCCTCCATAAAGTGGGGTAAAGATTATATATATATGGAAGAAATTGAGTATTGTCACACAAATCCTAACACTGTAAATATGAACCAAATTATTAGTGATTTTCCTTATAAAATTTGGATGATTTGGATGTTTTGGATAACTCAAGTGTGTTCGCGGGAGTTTTAATATGCAGTTAGGAATTGTGAATGATCAAATGTGTTGTGATGTGATTTACGTAACTGGTACAATATAACGGTGCCTAATTTATTTGTAAAAACCCTGCTGTAATATGGTTGTACTGTATAATTTATCCTGCTTTCCCAACTAAATCTATTTCATAATACTAACATCAATTTGAGTTTCCAGTTCAGCTTTCTGCTTCTGAAGCTTGGCTTGCTTCTCGAGGTGCTCAGACATGTTGCCTTTGCTGGAATCTAGGGCAAGCAGGAGATTATTCTTTTCTTCTTGAAGGATGGCAATGGTAGATTCAGCTTCTTGACGACGTTTCACCTCATTCTCATAATCCGCTTGAATCTTAGCGGCCTTCTCTTCTAGAGCCTTCATCTCGTCCTCAATGCGGGTGACGTTGAGGAGAGGTTTGACCTTTTGCCACAGGTTGAACCAAGCCCAGGTGCGCATCTTCAAGAAATTTCTCAGGTTGCGTTGAACAACAATGAGGGCAACGCGCTGCTCCTGAAGTCTCTTGTATTCTCTTCGTCCAATGAAACCACGGATCCAAGCCTGCAGCCATGAGAACATCTTGCCCAGACGGTCGTCACGAATCTCCTCCAAGTTACCCAGAACACCAGCACGGAAGAACACCTGAGAAAACCAAATAAATTATTAATAAACGTAAAGGACACTTATCCCTTTATCAGATGTGATTAAAACCTATTTTTAAAATACAGTATTTTCCACGTATACACGATGCATTTATAATTCAATCATCTTTCGGTTAGAGGTCAATGAGGCATACAAAGGATATGATAAAATTTTTATTATTACGTGAGAGGACATGGAAGCTGTAAACAGTATCTACTTTTGAAATATTTGATCATGAATTCAGATATGTAGTAGAATGATTTATAAACAAACCTTAGTGTTGCCAAGACGGTACGATTCCTCGTCCAGGCCGGCTTTGTCGAAGCAAGCCTTGGCGGCCTTCTTGTCGTCCTTTATTTCAGACATTTCCTTAGAAGCCAAGATCTTGTACCTACGAGGGGAGGGAGACGAAGTGAAACTGTCAGGGAACATGTTATTTCCTTTCATTGTATTCCAGAAACAATTCCTTGGGGTCCAAATGGAGAAGGATATATAAGTTAAGATTTTATAATGAAAACCATTTAATTATTTAGCAGTTTTTTGTAAGCATTATGTTATGTTTTGAAAGTGACTGTGAGAGATTATTTGCATAAAAATCCTTAAGATAAGTAAAATTCAATGGTTAACGCTATGGCGGCAGATTACACATATCTTAAAGAGTTACTTATTTCCTTAGATAGATTTTATGTGGTTAGGTTTATTTTCGCATTTCTTTATTTCATTTTTATTAAGACTATTGGCATGTCTCACCACCATAAATTTGTAGAGCGCCAGCCTGGCCTCACTCCTTCTGCAGCGCCTGCTGCTGAGGGAGAAGGCGTCACCGATGAGCCAATCAACATCGCAGGCCTCTTAAAAGGCCATGTCGGCTCGCCACCAGACACCAGTGTCGATTCCGAGACAAGACCTCAACGAAAGCAGACATGTGAGTCTTATGGGAGCAAGGTGAAGGTGATGAGGCTACATCCTCCATCTTCCACCCCTCCTGAGAAGCTAAACCTCCTTGTCCTGAAAAGGTGTTTTACTTCTTTAGGTACAGAGAGAGTTACGAAGATTGTCCGCTAGCCGAGTGGTGGCCTTGTGGTTACCTTCGATGACTGGGGACAGTCTGAACAACTAAAGGATATAACAAGCATCGATGGCGTCTCCATCAAGGTGGAAGTCTGTCTCGTCAACAACGCCGTGTGGGGAATTATTTCCCACGGCGATATACAGCACTTAGAAAAAAACGAGCTACAAGTCATATTAGAAGACGATTACACTGGAAGGAAGATGAAGAGATTTTACCGCAAATTGCCCAAGACGGTTATACTGGGATGGGACACTATCTCAATGTAACCGTATACACACCAATACCCACCCGGTGCTACATATGTTAGCGCTATGGGCAGCCAGGAAAGAAGTGCTGGGACAAACGAGCCCCAGCGTACCATTTGCTCGGCGACCAACAAGAAATGCGCTGGTTGTGACGGCCCTCACTCCTCCGACAGGGAGTGTCCCAATTAGAAGGAGGAGTGTAGGGTAACCAAGGTGCAACATTAGAAATTGAGCTATAAGGAGGCTCTCCTTGCAGTGAAGAAACACGAACACGACAGAAAAACCAGAAAAAGGAAAAATGAGAAAGAACAACAAGAACCAGAAAAAAAGATCAAAACTAAGAACAAGAAATTAAAACACTAAGATTTTTAGAATTTATTGACATCTACGCAGACCAAGAAGCAGAACAAGAAAAATAAAATAGGAGGTAAAGAAGAAACAAAAGAGCAAGAGGAAGCGGTTAAATTTATAATTCTGTGGCTGTAATAACCGCGGCAGTTGACGGCCAGGAAATAAAATCAACCAATCAACCAAGCACCAGCAGCATTCTCTCATTTGGAAGCATTCCCTGTCCAGCAGTCTCTACTCATCACTTAGCTCAGAGCAACTGTCCACTCTCAATATCCTGCGTGTGTGACCTAACTCTCTTTCGACTGCGGCGCCTAGTCTGTGTCTGGTGTCAACTACATATGGCTAAGTCCATTTGTGTAGTTGATTCTCTCGTCTAAGTGACCCTAAGTGACTAGTGTACAATATTCTATTATATGACGCAAATGCTCTTACGAGTGATACCAGGTCCGAGACTAACTTACGTCGTACTTAACGAGCTCCAATATATGAGGCCACCACAGTGCTCTTATTATTGTCTATTTTTGTCACCATTTAACCACTGTAAAATCCTTGTGCATTTAATGATACCTAACGTAGCACTAGCGTCTTTTTATGACCTAAGCTAATCCAGTTGACGTTCTTTGTATATATATATATATATATATATATATATATATATATATATATATATATATATATATATATATATATATATATATACTTCATTTTTAGTCCATATAACACGCGGACTTTGAACAAATAATCAGCGACCTCACCAGCCAGGAATCGAACCCTCGACCTACTGAGTGGGACTAGGGAACGCTACGGACCAACCCACAAGGACACTAAAAGCAGTCCTAGACTCTGTTATAGTTCACACAAAGCCTGTTCATCGAGCTGATGGCGCCGTGAACCTCATTGGGAACTAACTGCCCGTGCCTCGTATGTGGTGTCAGTAGCATTTTATCGAATCCAGCTGGTATGAAACACGAGGTACCATATATATACTTCATTTTTAGTCCATATAACACGCGGACTTTGAACATATAATCAACGACCTCACCAGCCAGGAATCGAACCCTCCACCTACTGGGTGGGACTAGGGAACGCTACTGGCACCACATACGAGCCACAGGCAGTTCCCAATGAGGTTCACGGCGCCATCAGCTCGATGAACAGGCTTTGTGTGAACTATAACAGAGTCTAGGACTGCTTTTAGTGTCCTTGTGGGTTGGTTGGTAGCATTCCCTAGTCCCACCCAGTAGGTCGAGGGTTCGATTCCTGGCTGGTGAGGTCGTTGATTTTATATATATATATATATATATATATATATATATATATATATATATATATATATATATATATATATATATATATATACATTAACATTATTGTTGAAAGTAATTATAACAAAATTATCGTTGTATGTTTAACTTCACTCCCAATATCTGATATCTAAGGAATTACCGACTCTTATCTCACTTATACTTAAATTCACTGAGAACACACTACTTTTCTTCACGAGAGGAATTTCTGGTTAACATCTTACTTCCATATTTCACTAAGTATTCATTGGAAGTTCTAAGTAACCATTTATATCTTGATTAAAGTCTATAATACGTGATATAATAAAGAGATGCTGCTCATATACACCAGACGTTCTAAAAAGTAGGCAGATAGGTAAAGTAAACAGCTTATGTAGAAAATTCTTGACGTGTGCTTGCCAGAAAACATTGACACACCGGAAATTCCTCTTATTTTAGTATTAAATAAATGAAAAGGTTTAAGTCAACTCACCGGTGCTTGAAGTCAGGGTAGACCATCCTGTTGGGGAAGCCCTTACGGCAGATACGGATACCCTCAAGTACACCGTTACAGGTCAGTTGGTGCATGATCAAGCCTGCATCTACAACACCTGAGGGGGCGAAGAAAATTTGTCATTTACATTTTCCTCTGAACACGACGCCTTTGACAATAACACCAGTGGTTGTGTGACATGCCCCTTGGGGTATTGTAGCCTAAGACTTGCTTTAACCTAATTGCCCTAGGCAAAAGCGTCACGAATTGAAACACCTGGTAATCGATTTTTACAGCACAGTTTTCAATCACTGGTGAGTAGTATCACAGCCAAGGCCCTGCCGACATTAGTGCTTCTCATCTTCACAAAACACTGTATTGTAATAGCCGAATTCCTTCAAAGATCTTTCTCAAGGATTACTGCTGTTTAAGACACTGGGGTGAATTTTGAAATGTAAACATTAACCGCTTCCTCTTGCTCTTTTGTTTCTTCTCTACCTCCTATTTTATTTTTCTTGTTCTGCTTCTTGGTCTGCGTAGATGTCAATAAATTCTAAAAATCTTAGTGTTTTAATTTCTTGTTCTTAGTTTTGATCTTTTTTTCTGGTTCTTGTTGTTCTTTCTCATTTTTCCTTTTTCTGGTTTTCTGGTTTTTCTGTATTCGCGTTCGCAACAAGGCAAACAGGATTCTTGGGTTCATATCTAGGAGTGTGAGTAACAGAACTGCTGACGTTATCTTGAAACTTTACCTAGCATTAGTGAGGCCACACATGGGTTATGCGGTTCAATTCTGGTGTCCTTATTATAGAATGGACATAGATTCTTTGGAGAGAGTACAGAGAAGAATGACAAAAATGATCCATAATATTAGAAACCTTCCATATGAAGAAAGACTGAAAAGCTTAGGCTTGCATTCATTAGAGAGGCGTAGAGTTAGGGGAGATATGATAGAGGTGTTCAAGTGGGTAAGTGGGATTAACAAGGGTAAAATGGAAGATGTTCTGAAGCTCAGTAATAACGAAATAACTAGAACAAATGGCTTTAAATTAGATAAATTCCGATTCAGAAAGGATATAGGCAAGCACTGGTTTGGTAATAGAGTTGTGGATATGTGGAATAGACTACCGAGTGCCATAGTAGGATCGGGGACGCTAGGGAGCTTCAAGACGAAGTTGGGTAGGCACATGGAAGTGCTGGGATGGGTGTGAAAGGGATCTGCCCTGTATGGGCCAGTCGGCCTCCTGCAGTATCCCACTTTCTTATGTTCTTATGTTCTTATGAAATTAAGTTGTTCTTTAATATAATGCTCTTTGGATACGATATAATCTTTGAGACGTCTCGTTCGTACAACGAGAAACATTCTCTTGGTGGTGGCTTTCCATAGAGTCATTTACGCTCAACTCGTTTTCTGATGAATCAAATATAATGATCAGATTGACCAAACTAGCTTGGCTCCCTTCACTTACCCGGAGATTTGGTTTCGTTGGGGACGATACAACGGATGAAGTGAGGGTGAGTGGCGTTCAGGGTCTTCATCAGGTTGTTCAACTGGTCCTGTGGGAAGAAGACGAAGGACGAGGTTAGTTGGAATAGGACACTCCTTTTATTGTGAATGGTGTAACTCAACAATGATTAAACTTCATAACTTTTATTGGTACTTTCATAAGTGACTCGTTAATATTGACCATTAGGTCCCAAATATTTTAACGAACAGGTAGAGGTATAGTTGAAACTAATAGTATTTAGAACACATGACCTGAACATCAGATTCATATAAGTGTGAACAATAAGAGCCCGTCAGAGTTAACTTTACGTGTCGTTAATGGATTCAACAAAATTTATACTGGTGTTGTCAGTAAGGATAATTCCAGCGAGCATCAGATTCACTTGTGGCGGAATACTGTAGGTATAGTTGATAGAAGTATTACCAATGGCCAGTGAATGAACGCCAGCTCATCCATTATCTCTAATGTACAAGGCAGTGTAACGGTAAAAGGGGTACGTTTTGGAATTTCATTATATAAATAAACCCCGCAGCGTGCAGACAGTTTTATATGGAAATAAAGTGTAATATATTCAAGTGCGATTCCTAGCAACACGCGCATGGGCTTCGTTTAAATATTTTTATTAAAATATTTATCCTTAGGTGAAGTTGTGACGACAAAAATAATGGGTAACTGAACCACTAGAATGAAAAATGGGAACTATACGGGTATAAAGTTCGAATTATATGTAGTTAAAATTTTTATGAAAGAACTTGAACGATTCAAACTATCAACAGAGCAAAGGCAAGGATATGATTCACCAGAACTGAACTACATACTCGATATGAAGATGACACAGTCTTGAATGAACCAGACTTCGCGCCACGACCACCTGAAAGCAGTAGAAATTTACATATATTTTCATGTCGGTAAATATAATATCAATGTTCTTATGATTGTATCTACTGTATCTTCTCATGAACATGTTACTCTGAAGTGAATTCATCAAAACTATGACAAACTATACATATGACATTGAAAAAAAAATGTTGAACGCAAAAATCCTACCATAAACTTCTATCTAGTAAAAAAAGAATGGTGGTCAATTTATAGTAGAGGACATAATTAGTTTTAGAGAGCAATATTGTTATCTTATTACTACGCTTCAACAACGAAGGTCTTTAAGCGCGTAGCAAGGTTAGTAATACACTAATTAGTCTAACAAAATTAAAAATTATGAGAGATAGAACTCATTGTGTACTCTCTTAAAGAAGTGATGAGGGTCCGGCTTCACAGTCCTGAGACCCACGTCCAGAAGAGACTTAAGTGATGTAATTACACATGAATCATAAGTGAAAACTTTACAGTAGATAAATCTTATTGTAATGTCCACGAATTTATAATATCAGTAATGGTCAGATGAAAATATGAGAACAATGCTACTACCTTTAGTATCTGCAGGTCCGGACTGCCCGGGATGATCAGCGAACAACAGAACGACAAGTGAGTCGGATGATTTCTTGAGGAGGTCAACAACAGTGTCGTTGAGAGGGTCCTTGTTCTTCTCGAGCCAGCCACTCAGGTTGTAGCTGACAGTACCAGCGTAGTGAACAATGGCGAAGTGAGAGTCAGGCTGACCAGCCTTTGGTGGCTTAGGTTTGATGAACACAGGAGATTTACCAAGGTGATTAGCATTTAACTTTTCTTGGAAGGACTTGTCAGTAGCCTTGGGGAACATTGACTCCTCCTCAAGGATGGAGAGAATGCCCATTTTCTGTGGAGAGTTTAAGAAATTCGTCACCTTTAAGTTTAAAAAAAAATAGTAAAAGAAATAATAAATTATTAAGAAAATTATGTGATTAAATGTTAATATTTGTTTGTAACTGCTGGGCCGTGCAGAGAAGGACAGGCGAAGTGAACCAGAAAAAACAAAATGTTAGGGAATTGGGAACACCAGAATTTCAGATATTTCCTGGGATCAGAGCTGCAGTGTAAAGGACACGTACTGGATGGTTTAGGACTTTAGGGTTACATAAGTAGTTTGAAAAGCCTGCGTCCAATTTCAAACATTATACAAAAATCAGTTTAGAATTTGTATTGAGGTATGATGAGACTAGCGATGAAAGAATAAATGTCAATGGTAAAGTAACATTATTGTTTGATGTGGTGATGATAATGTTCTTAGAACAAATAGTAAAGAGGCGTTACAAAAACCGGCCAATATTCTAGAGCTGAACCTCGGCGAATGAAGACGTCTATCTTTGCTCCTGAGGTACCACAGGGACATGACACTGGGTTGATACCAAGTGAATGTGGTTCGGCTGTACCGGGTCGAGCGCGCCTCCTGAGGAGGTTTGCCGACTCCTCTGGGATTAAGGAAGTTACGAAGGTCATCCACAGATCAGAGAGTGGTGGCCTTATGGTCACCTTCACCGAATGGGGACAGGCCAAGCAAGTGTAAGACGTCAACGTCATTAATGGCGTCCCAATCGAGATAGAAATTGAAGAAAACGACAACTTTGTGATGGGGGTGATCTTCCACTTCTAAATTGAACACCTAGACCAAGACTAGCTGGCCCAACTTATCGGTGACCATCTAGATGTCAAAAGGAAGCTAGCCAATCAAGCGACACTAGTCGGCTGCCCGAAGACATTACCACAAGAAGTACGACTGAGATGAAAGACCATCCCAATTATGACCTACGTTGCCAGATCCACACTCTGCAATAAGAGCCAGAGATTTTTTTTTTTTTACGGGAATTAGCCCACCCGGGCACAGGTCAAACGACCCACAACGGAGCCTAGAGGGCGAAAAAAAAACGGAAAGAAATTGTAAATATAGAAAAAAAGGTTATACTGAATTAATCTACACCACGAAGATGCTGGAAAACCAGCTTTTTAAAGTGAGACAGATTGTAAGAGCATGGAAACACAGAAGAAGGCAGAGCATTCCACAGTTTGGCTGTGTGAGGAAAGAAGGAGGTCCTATAACGGGTTATTCTCGTGTGACCGACATCCACAGAGAAACGGTGGGCACCGCGGGCAACACGTGTGTTACGAACCCACGGCCTTGCCGGCGGTACACAGGATGCCAAATCCACCGAACATTGCCCGTTAAAGTATCTGTAAAAGAGAGAGAGTGAAGCAACATTGCGGCGAAGAAAAAGGGGAGAGAGATTGTCGACTAAAGGAGGAGAGTTAATAAGACGAAATGCCTTTGATTCCACCCTATCTAATAGTTGGACAGAAGAAGAGCCACCCCAGATATGAGAGCAGTACTCCAAGTTAGGACGAATGAATCTCTTATATACTTGGAGCAACTGCTCAGGAGTGAAGTAGCTGCGGCATCTGTACAGCATTCCCAACTTTCGGGAGGCAGCTTTAGTTATACTAGGGCTGTGTGATTTCCAGGACATATTGGGGGAAATGGTCAGGCCTAACAAATTTATTTCAGAATTTGGGAGGATGATAGCGTCCTGAAATGTAATTGGTGGGAGATCGTCTAATTTACAAAGTGTAAATGGTAAATATTGAGTTTTATTACTATTGAACTTAACCAAGTTTGTATCTCCCCATTCAGAGATGCTGCACAGATCCGCGTTGATAGAAGTAATGATATCAGTTCTAGAAACAGATCTAGTTTTAAAGTTAGGAGGAAGGGGAAAATGTGAGGAAGAGTGAAGAGTAGAATCATCAGCATAAGAATGGATAGAGTTAGTTGTAGTGTGAAGTAAATCACTGATAAAAAGAAGGAAGAGAGTTGGTGAAAGAACAGAACCCTGTGGGACGCCACTACTGGGAGAGAAAGAGCGAGAAATCGATCCCTCGACAACAACTGCCATGGATCGGTTCTCAAGGAAGCTAGAGATGAGGAAACAAAGTCGGGGAGAGAAACCAAAAGAGGGAAGTTTAGATAGCAAAGACTTGTGCCATACCCTGTCAAATGCTTTGGAGATGTCGAAAGCCACGACAAAAGTTTCCCCATAATCCCTAAGAGAGGATGACCAAAGATGGGTGCAATAGGAGAGCAGATCACCAGTAGATCTCGCCTGGCGAAAGCCATACTGGTGATCCGACAAAAGAGAAAGGCGTTCAAGGTGACGGAGAAAATCGAAATTCAAGATAGTTTCGAAAATCTTAGAGAGGGATGAAGTTAGGGCAATGGGGCGATAGTTAGAAGGATTAGAATGGTCACCCTTCTTCGGGATGGGCTGAACCAAGGCATGCTTCCAAGAAGAAGGAAAAGTTTGGGTTTTGAGGCAAAGGCGAAAGAGGCGAGCAAGCAGAGGGGCCAGGGCTTCAGCACACTCCCTCAGAACACGAGGGGGTATTCCGTCCGGTCCATGCGCCTTACTCACATCCAACCTGGATAGCACACCGGCAACCCTGCGAGTGGAGATTATAGGAAAGTGCATAGGTTCAGTAGGAAGTGCAGGGATAGGAGAGATAGAGTGGGAATCGTCTAAGGTGGAATTAGAGGAGAATAAGGTGCCAAAGAGGTTGGCTTTGTCAGGATGAGATTTGGCTATAGAGTTATTGGGACGGAAGAGGGGAGGAAAAGATGGCGTGCAGAAGTTGTTACAGATGTTTTTAGTTAAGGACCAGAAGGATTTACTAGAGGAAGAATTAGTCAGGACAGCGGTCTTTCTTTTAATAAAATTCCGCTTAGCCCTACGAAGAATAGCCTTACAACGATTCCTAGAAGTAATGAAAGAGGTGTGGGTAATACGAGAAGGAGATAGTTTCATAGCTCGACATGCCCTATCTCTCACCCTGCAAGCAAGAGAGCAGGAGCGATCAAACCATGATTGTAATGTGAAAGTTTTGGTAGAAGATGGGATAAATGCACTCATACCACACTGTATAATCCAGCAATGCTGTCAGCACATACCGAGGCATCCCGAGTGGAAAAGCAACATTCATCCCAAGGAAAGTCGGTGAATAATTCTCGCAAGGATTGCCAGCTTGCCCTCCGATTGTGCCATAGTTGACGTTTAGACGGGGGTGGGGGAGGTGGTCGTGCCCAATTTGATTTAATAGAAATAAGGTTGTGATCAGAAGACCCTAAGAGGGCAAAAATTGAGTATGAATAGTGTGACGGGTTAGAGGTAAAACAAAGATCAAGAATGTTAGCAAGTTGATCGTGTCGATGAGGAACGCGTGTAGGGTGTTTGATTATTTGTTCCAATCATTAAGTAAGGAAAAAGAGAGTGCCTCAGCTCCACCTGGGTCATCCCTTGCAGAGCCAAGCCGCTCTCTGTGATGTACATTGAAATCCCCTAGGTAGAGGATCACGGTGTTGGGGTGTGAGGATAGCAACGACTCATGACAAGAAGTGAGATAGTCAAAGAGTTCGAAATAGTTGGTAGAGTTGGGAGAACAGTATAGGAAACAAAGGAAAATAGTCACAGTAGGTAGAGATATTTTGAGCCAGATGACATCATAAAGGGGAGATTCAAGATCTGTGAGTCGGGCTATAGGTGTACGTGTGTTGCAGTAGGCGCATACACCTCCCTTAGAACGGAAGTAGGTTGTAGTTAGAGACTTGAAAATTTTGGGTGAAGCTGCTTTGGTCAGTTGAAGTTCGGAGAGTAGTAAGAGGTCGGGGAAAGAGGTTGATAGATGGTGCTCCACAGAAGAAAAAATGGATCTCAGTCCGCGAATGTTGGAAAAATGAAGTGTGAAAAAAGCCGATCTTCCAGCAACCGCGGTGGCGTCAGTTGAGGCCCCAGTAGCTTGATAATGATCAGGTCGGCCCTGGGGTCCACAACCTCCCCGACCAGTGGGACCCATCCGAGAAAGCCCCGCTTTAGTATTAATATCAACTGACATAGAAGAATAAAATAGAGTGAATAAAACAGATCAAGAATGAGTACGGTTTTATGTGTGGTGTTATCAATAGTAAGAGAGACAGTTGAGACCCTGCAATTGTGTGTAAATGAGGCAGAAAGATAGATCAGCAACCTGGGACTTGTTCACAGTTTTCGTGATGCCATATAGCAGCAGGGTCTGCCATTAGGCAACACATTATTCTTCCAATATCTTCCCAGGAGATAGTACCTCCCTGTTTGGTCGCTGCCGATTACCTACTACCTGGCAGATATGGACATCCTGTAAAGAAGTGGCGTGCTCGGGAGGTATGTGCCACATGCGGGACAACCAGACTACCGCACATCACGAGTACGACAACTGACAAGAAATGTGCAGCTTATGGTGGCTCTCACTCCTCATCTGACCGGGAGTGTCCCAAGTGGAGGGAGGAAAGTAGGATAGCTAATCTGCGAAGGAAGAAGAAAAGAAGAAACAAGAACAAAACAACACAGAAGAACCAGGAAAAGCAAGAGAATGAACAACAAGAACCAGATATACTGACGGTAAGAAACTCAGAGTTCATCGACCTCTACGAATCATTACCAGACCTAGAAGACCAGAAAGAATAAAATGGGTAGTACAGAAAAAAAAGGAAAAGGTCAAAAGTACAAGACTACAGCCATAAAGGCCATCGAAATCGATGGCCATTAAAACGAACAAAGGTCAACAACCGGCCAACACTCAATTCAGAGTAAATGTCGAAAATGTGCTCTGAATTTATGTTATGTGATGAAATTATAGATGATGCAACACAAAATGTACCGTATATGTTATTATACACTAGCAGAATCGCCGCCCAGGTAGGACGCCACCCTCCGGGAGGCTCCACATTGTCCAACTGTTCAGTCCCCAAAACTTCTTCTTCCATCAATAGTTCATTAACGGTGTATGTAAGTTCCACCATGGTTTTTAATATAACGGTACAGCAAAGTATATATTTTTAGCATTAACTGTTATTATTTTATTGTCTAATCATCACTACATATAACACCACCCATCATCACTACATATAACACCATCCATCATCACTACATATAACATCATCCATCATCACTACATATAACACCATCCATCATCATTACATATAACAATATCCATCATCACTACATATAAAATCATCCATCATCACTGCATATAACACCATCCATCATCACTACATATAACACCATCCCTCATCACTACAGATCGGTAAAGTCGTTTCCGAGATTCTCGTGCGGACACACACGGTAGGACGCCACCCTCCGGGAGGCTCCACATTGTCTCACTGTAGTGCATTAGGGTAGACCACGTTTTTGGTTTTGCCATTAGCAGCAATTATGTACAGATTTTTGCCTCCCACTCTGGAGCATCCAACATAGAACTGTCTATGAGAGAAGCAAGGAAACACTTGCTATCCATGTCAAATTTGGTCCGGGCGGCTCATTCGCTAGGCCACGGTAGGACGCCAGCCTCCAGGAAGTTCCACATTGTTCACTCCCCAAAACTTCTTCCATCAATATTTCATTAATGGTGTATGTAAGTTCCACTACAACGGTACGGCAAAGTATATTTTTTTAGCATTAAACTGCTATTATGTTATTGTCTAATCATCACTACATATAACACCATCCATCATCACTACATACAACACCACCCATCATCACTACATATAACAACATCCATCATCACTACATATAACATCATCCATCATCACTACATATAACACCACCCATCATCACTACATATAACAACATCCATCATTACTACATATAACATCATAACATCATCCATCATCACTACATATAACACCATCCATCATCACTACATATAACAACACCCATCATCACTACATATAACATCATCCATCATCACTACATATAACACCACCCATCATCACTACATATAACATCATCCATCATCACTACATATAACACCACCCATCATCACTACATATAACAACATCCATCATCACTACATATAACATCATCCACCATCACTACATATAACATCATCCATCATCACTACATATAACATAATTCATCATCACTACATATAACACCACCCATCATCACTACATATAACAACATCCATCATTACTACATATAACATCATAACATCATCCATCATCACTACATATAACACCACCCATCATCACTACATATAACAACATCCATCATTACTACATATAACATCATAACATCATCCATCATCACTACATATAACACCATCCATCATCACTACATATAACATCATCCATCATCACTACATATAACATCATCCATCATCACTACATATAACATAATTCATCATCACGACATATAACACCATCCATCATCACTACATATAACACCACCCATCATCACTACATATAACATCATCCATCATCACTACATATAACACCATCCATCATCACTACATATAACATCATCCATCATCACTACATATAACACCACCCATCATCACTACATATAACATCCATCATCACTACATATAACATCATCATCCATCATCACTACATATAACACCATCCATCATCACTACATATAACACCACCCATCATCACTACATATAACATCCATCATCACTACATATAACATCATCATCCATCATCACTATATATAACACCATCCATCATCACTACATATAACACCATCCATCATCACTACAGATCGGTAAAGTAGTTTCCGAGATTCTCGTGCTGACACACACACACAAACACACACACAGACATACTTCTTTGTTATATATATATATATATATATATATATATATATATATATATATATATATATATATATATATATATATATATATATATTGTGGCATTTAAAAATTATTGTAACTTTTATTGTACTTATACCGTTGCTTCTGAATAAATAAAATAGGTGTAATTACCTTCTCGAAGAGCTCGATGCAGGCCTGCAGATCCATACCGAAGTCCACGAACTGCCAGTTGATGCCTTCCTTCTTGTATTCCTCCTGCTCCAGCACAAACATGTGATGGTTGAAGAACTGCTGCAGCTTCTCGTTACAGAAGTTGATGCAGATCTGCTCGAAGCCGTTGAACTGTTGGGAACAAAATTAGACACAAATAACACCTTATAGAGAAAAACTTGTGACAACAAAAGTCTAGAAGCCATTATTTAATACACGACTAAGGTGGCCGTATTAGTATTCATTTGTTAACAAATCCAATTGCAAAGGATAATAATATTACTAGTTTAATTGAACCCATAGTATAAAAGCCCCTAGGATAAATGTAAAAAATATTATACTAATAATAATGATGTAGTTGTTATGTAAAGTCTCAATAAGTTATTATATATTTACTGGAAAACAGTTCCCTAACTCCTTACATCGAAGATCTCGAAGCCGGCGATATCGAGCACACCGATGAACGAAGCTCGTTTCAGGCCAGTCTCAAGAGTCACGTTACACTTTTGTACCAGGAACTTGAAGACACGATCGAAGAGACCCTTAGCTAAGGCACCGACAGAGTAGGAACATTGATTCACATTCATGCCCTTGGCAACGAACTCTGCACCGACCTTAATTTTGGGCTTGGTGATGCATTTGTACAGGTCAGCCCCGTCAACACCCAGCAGTTTGGCAACTGTCTCACCAACCTTGAAAAATAAAATAATTTATTTGAAAACATATCATTAATATATAATAGAGAGCCCTGATTGTTGTCTTATGATCCGGGGTGCAATAAAGTGCAGTAATAAAACAGAAATGTAAAGATAGAAAGAGTACCTCAGTACCATCAGGTTCAGCTTGTTCCTCTCGACCCCTCTGTTTGAACTTCACTTCACCAAAGTGCATGACAGAAGCAGTGATTTTATAGACTTGTTCAACCTCTTCTTTAGAGAAGCCAAGAATATCGAAAGCGTCCTGTAGTGGATGAAGGACATCAATGTTACACAAAGAAATTCAAATTTCCTTATAGTATTATAGTCTTTTAGAGACCTTTTCAATTTATAAATTATAGGTGCACACACACACACACACACACACACACATATATATATATATATATATATATACTGCATATATATATATATGGGTAGGAAGGTACTCACGTGACAGAACTGCATGTCCTCTTTGTCATCAATGGAGGGGACGGTGACCTTGCCCTGAGACACGTAGTGATAATCGTAGATGTCGTCACTAAGTAAACACGAGGCTGGAGAAGTTAAGCAAAAAATTAATACCACAGGACGTAATTATTTACCACAGACTGTTTTAGGGAAAACATAATTGGAAATAGAGGTAAAGAAATTTAGTAACACTTATTATACTTATTTAATGAGCAGTGTTGATTGTTAACAGATTTAAGAACGTCGTGTAGTTCTCAACACAAAACTCTCGGTCCAGCTGTTTTTCTCTCAGTTGTGGGTTGGACACCTTCTGATAGCTGAAGTGTGGATATTTTGAGTAATTTTCGGTTAAAATATCGAATATTTGTCTCGTCACACATCGATATTTTAATTAATTCGGTTGAGTAGTTTGGTTAAAGTAAACATTAATATATCAGAGGCTGGCTCACCTTCTTCAACTGAGGAGATAGTATTGTTCTTCACTGATCGAGGCTGTAATTTGAAAAGAAATATTTTTTAAAAGAATTAGGGGCGAGGATATCAATTTATAAAAATAAATAAAAAAATCTGCCAGAAATAGAACGAAATGCTTAAAAGAAATATAAGCGATGCAGATTTATTGAATCTTTGTGATATACACATATAAAAAAATTACTCTGAATTTTGAATCACCGTTAAAAAGGAAATTTAGTAATTACTTTGAGGAATTTTTCACAATTTAAGTTTTCATTGTATTTTTTCCTGCTATATATAGTTAATGGCGGTTTTAAACATATTGAAAAAAGTGTTGAATATCGAAGCTAATTATTACTTAATCTTCTCAACAAGAGCGACAGTAGAAGAAAATGGAACGACACGTCTTCTATGTTTCTTTGTGTTTGAGTTTTGTTTTTTTCCATGGCGTGGTAAATTTCAGCAAAAAAATTTATATTTCAAACTTACTAGAATTCGATTTTAAGAAGCACGTTCGCTAATGGTTCTAAACGAATTTTAAGGCTTAAAATCAGTAAAGAACATTTAATCTAAATTTTTGTTTTCACTGAACCCTTGAGTACCTGTCATTGTTACTACTGTACATCAAATTAACAAACCTAGTCATGGATACTCGGCCAGTAATATATATATATATATAAAACCTCACCCCGCCAGGACTCAAACCCACGATCTTATGTATGTGACCGGGGAACGTTACCTCTAGACTACAGGTCACACACATAGACCGTGGGTTCGAGTCCTTGCGGGGTGAGGTTGTTGATTATATGTAGAAGTCCGCACACTTTATGGGCTAATGAAATATATATGGAACCTCGTGTTTCGAAGCCGGATTTGGTAAAACGTTACTCTGATCACCTAAGAGGCAGGGGTAGTCCTCAATTAGAGGTTCACGGCGCCATAAGCTCGATGAACAGACTTTGTGTGAAATATAACACAGTCTAGGACAGCTTTTCGTGTCCTGGTAGTCTAGAGGTAATGTTCCCTGGTCACACACAGATATGATCGTGGGTTCGTCGAGTCCTGGCAGGGTGAGGTTGTTGATTATGTGTAGATGTCCGTGCTCTTTATGGGCTAATGAAATATATATATATATATATATATATATATATATATATATATATATATATATATATATATATATATATATATATATATATATATATATATATATATATATATATATTATTTTTTTTATTAATTGTGGTGATTAAGATTTAAAATGGTTAATTAACAAATGTCAAATTTGTATTATGTACAGTTTTAATATCTATTTACTCTATAAAGTTTTAATTCAAAGTGAAAAGGACTATTCTGTGTTTTGAAGATCAAGATACAAATATAATAATATAATTGACTATAAAAACGTTAGTTTAAGTGAAAGGAAAATAATCTTGGTGTTTGATTTCGTCTTTATAAATTTTAACCCTGTTCATGTTTAAAATATAAACAGTAACCTTTGCTAGGAAGTTATTATATCACATCTGTCAATCTTAAACTCCATCATGTTATAGATACTTACGCTTGAGCTCCTTAATCTGGTCGGACATCATCTCGTAGAAGATATGGTAGGATCGCTCGAGGGACTGCTGGGAGATGACACGAGCCTTCTCCAGCAGGTAGACCTCTATATCAGCACCGGACAGCTTGCCATTGGGTTGGAAGTGGATACGGATGAACTTACCCTGTGGAAGAATGTATTGAATGAGATAATCAGTACTTAGCATTTATGGATGATTTACCGATATTCATTATTCATTCAGTAAAATATACTGTTTAGCCAATTAAACTTTATATTCGATTAAAATCCTTTAGTTAATTTCAGAAGTTCTGAAAGAAGTTCTTTTTCCTACAGCCAATAAACTCTAGACTTCGTATAAGTTATATAACTGATGACAATATTAGGTAAACGTACAGTAAGTTTTAATTCTAAATTTTGAGTTTATAAACGAAAATTACTTACGAAACGGGAGGAGTTGTCGTTACGAACGGTCTTAGCGTTACCGAAGGCTTCTAGCACTGGGTTCGTCTGGATAATCTGATCCTCTAGGTTCTGAAAGGATTGACGCAGTCAATGCTAATGCTATTTAAATAAGCTACGCGAACATTATAGTTTTACGGGCAAGTTCCTCATGTCATGTTAATATCCACTTGAACATTAATCTAAGAGTAGTTATAGAATGAAATATAAATGTCCGGCCTATAATATTTAGCTTGTATTTTATTTTGTATTATTACCTGTTTCTTCTCTTCGGTCTTCTTCTTGGTGGTGGCGCCGACGTTGGCGAAGTAGGAGAGTACCTTCTTGGTGTTCTCTGTCTTACCAGCGCCAGACTCACCGCTGTGGTAGGAAATATATTATTAGTTTTATTGAAAGATGCATCAAGTTACATTTAAAACTGACTATATAAACTATAAAAACATGCAAATCATATTATGTTTTTCAAAGTTAACTAATTTAAGAATGCTAAATTCTTTGTTATCTAACTTTAAGATTCATGAAAAACTACCGTACGTCATTGTTTGTGCTTGCATTTATAAATTCAAGTTGACTTACGTGATAAGCATAGACTGGTTTTCTCCACCTGCAAAATAAAAATAAAAATCAGTTGATAATAGAAGGGTAACTTGTTATATTATATTACTGATCACTCTGCTATGCACTGTACGTAAGGTACTTCCACACTTATCGAATGTACAGTATATATAACTGTACAGTAATCACTTTTACGTCTTAACACGGCTTTAACGGTATTTTTGGCCGGTTGTACCCTGGTACAGTAATGAACAGCACTGCACAACGCAGATTGTATGCGAAAAACACAGTGAGCGGGCAAATAAGCTAGTAAGTACAATGACAGCAGACAATGAACTAAGAGCGTGCCATGATGCAAGAGTTTGAGAGACAGGCCTCATGAGAGACATATCACGGCATACACGTAATCTCTTGAAAATCCAATTAAATGCACGGTATTCCTCTGTTTTTTATTTAACTTTTCAGATATTGGAAAGTTCCAGGGAGAGAGAGAGAGAGAGAGAGAGAGAGAGAGAGAGAGAGAGAGAGAGAGAGAGTTAATCCATAATTTAATCTAATTATCAGTCAAGGTTCATACAAATATCAACTCCAATGCGCCTGGGATGTGTGTTGCCCTGTCACAGCTTCGGATCAACGACACCATGTAGAAACTTAGCTTCTGGTGTTGATTGTAAACCCAGAATAATACTAAGGGGTGGAAGCTAAGAGTGCATGAGGCTCATCATTAAAATACGTCTTGAGCACTATCGGTCATTACAAACTGTATTAATACGTTGAAGCGAGTTTGAGGTTGATAAAATAAGAGTTTGAGGTTGATAAAATAAGAGTTTGCATTGAAGTCCACTAAAAAGATAACCTACAGTAACAGGACGGTACAAAATGCTACGCTAAAGATGCTAAAAATATGATATTTACCTTGCATCATGTTCATGTAGGCACCATCGGATATGGCGAAGAGATGAGGAGGCACTTCATTACGCCTCTTACCCTGGTAGATCTTGACCACACGGTTGGTGTAGATGGGGTACCGCTTGTAGGGGTTGATGGCGATACAGAAGAGACCGGAGTAGGTGTAGATTAGCCTGGCGACGTAACGGCTCTTCAAGTTGTACAGGACAGACGCATCGTTAAGGTAGGTCAAGTTAGACATGTCCTCGCATTTCTCGTATTTGGGAGGATTGACCTGACCCACAAGGTCCTTCTTCCAATTTTTTGTTTCACCACCAGCATACACAGTAATGAGATCGCCCTTGGTACCCTGGATCTCACCCTCAATGAAGCCCTCCTTGTCATCAGGAACCCAACAGGATTTCTTAGCGTCGTAAGGCTTGGTTGAATCCTGCATCTTCATCTCCATAGATATGTACAAGAACTCGGAGGGGTCAGGGTCGGGACCCGTGCTCTTCTTCACGTGGCCGGGCATGTTGGTGGTGGGTGCCTAAAGTTGTCGTGCTCTTTATATTGAAATTCTGTTTTCCCTGCAATATGAAATATACTTCAGAAATAAATATATATATATATATATATATATACATATATATATATACATATATATATATATATATATATATATATATATATATATATATATATATATATATATATATATATATATATATATATATATATATATATATATATATATATATCTTTTGATAAAATCATGGAAGGGAAATGAGCACCTGCTGTCTGTTGTTTCTTTCCAGTGCAGATTTTGATTAAGATTTCATCTCATCCACGTTTCTAGGATCTATATATATATATATATATATATATATATATATATATATATATATATATATATATATATATATATATATATATATATATATATATATTTTTTTTTTTTTTTTTTTTTTTTCATGTAGAACCACACTGAAAACGAGGATAAGATAAATCTTGATAAAATCACACAGGAAAGAGGGAAACAATGGAGCACCTTAGCTTACAATCTACTAAAACCAGGCAAATTCCGACATTTAGGAATATTTTGACTCTACATTATCACAATGAATTTGTCCCGTTAGTTGAGTCCCTTAAATTATTAAATATTAATGTTGTTTTTAAGTATGACTCAACTATTACCAATATATTAATCAAGAATAGTCCAACCTTGAGTGTAAATGGAAGTGTTTACTGCATTCCATGTATGAATTGTAATGGAAATTATGTAGGACAGACTGGGAAAGCATTGCAACTCAGAATTAAACAGCACAAATATAATATAAGAATAACGTCAGAAAGCAGTGCACTGTTCGTTCATGTTAGGAACAATAATAATCCCATAGATTGGGAAAACATACAGCTTAGAAGTGTATAAATCATCATGTGTCACAGAAAGACTTCTGGTTGAAACAAGTTTGATTAGAGAAATGAAATCTATAAACCTTAGTGATGGTCAGTACAAAACTAATATGTTACACAAATTTATTTGTCAGTGGCCCAAGGTTAAAAATTCTTTGAAAGCATTGGAGTTAGAAGTAAGATAGATGGTTAGTAGGTCCCATATTTTTTACCTGACTTAACATGACTAGTTACCTCGCTCTTTCTTTTAAGCTCCTTTTGTTGGTGTGCGGATTAGTGGATGTCATGTTTATGACCTGACCTCATGTTTTGTAAGGTCACCCTGTGTACTTAAGCCTCTCTCCGTCCATGTAATTCAGTTGCCTCTAAAGATGTCTTGAATAAAGACGAACGTTAAGGTGCTCCACTGTTTCCTTTTTTCCTATGTGATTTTAGGGGCCCGGACAAAAGCCCCTCAGTAAAAGTGCAAAATAGGTCAGAAGCCCCCTGTTTTTATGTTAAAGAGAGGGTCATTAGAAATAGTAACAATATATTGATTTAAATATGAAATTACTACAACTTAAATAATTAGAATATTATAACTCTTTAAATTTTGTTATAGAACATTATTAAATACCTGTAAATAGAAAAGAAAACAGACGACATATTTTACCTTCATGTACATTCTGTATTTACTGAGGTGACCCTAGGATTCAGTGAGGTCACTGAATGTCAGGGGAGTATTTACCCCAGTAGACAAAACATACGTCATTGCACATTTAATAAACATTCCTTGTATACTTATGTATAACAGTAACAGAATTCCCGAAGGGCCGGACGAAATTTTCCCTCGAGTCTTGAAAGAGTGTAGGGAACAGATTAGCGGACCCCTTGTAAATTTATTTACAAAATCATTAGACACCGGAGTTGTGCCAGACTTGTGGAAACAGGCAAATGTAGTACCCATATTCAAAAAGGGAGACAGAGCATCAGCGTCAAATTACCGGCCGATCAGTTTGACGTCAGTAGTGGGGAAATTTCTTGAATCAATTATAGCAGATAGCATCCGATCGCATCTAGAGAAAAGCAAATTAATCTACGACTCGCAACGTGGGTTTACAGAGGGAAAATCTGCTGACGTTTTTTAAGAAAGTCTTCGAGGTAGTAGATAATGACGAAAATTACGCTGTTATTTACTTAGACTTTAGCAAAGCATTTGACAGAGTACCGCATCAGCGGCTTCTGAGAAAAATTAAGGCTCATGGTATCGAGGGGAAAGTTTTAAATTGGATAAAATCATGGCTCACCGATAGAACGCAGAGGGTCAGCGTAGATGGTGTTAAATCTGAGTGGGGCCGTGTAACCAGTGGGGTTCCCCAGGGGTCAGTACTAGGCCCACTCTTGTTCATAATCTACATAAACGATCTAGATACTGGGATCAGCAGTGACATAAGCAAGCTTGCGGATGACACCAAAATAGGGCGGCAGATTAATTCAGGGCAGGATGCAAATGCATTACAGGAGGATCTAAATAAACTGCAGTGGTGGTCTGAAAAATGGCAAATGAAATTCAACACCAGCAAGTGCAGCGTACTTAATATTGGAAGAACAAATACTGACAATGTATACAGCCTTAACAACATCAACCTAGAGAAGTCGACTTGTGAAAGAGACCTAGGGGTACTTTTAAGCCCGGACCTAAGGTATAGAAAACAGGGCGTTAATGTTTGAAATAAGGCAAACAGAGTATTGGGTTTTATATCTGGAAGTGTAAGTAATAAGACAGCAGAGGTCTTATTGCAATTATATCTTGCGCTAGTCAGGCCTCACCTCGATTATGCGGTTCAGTTCTGGTGCCCTTATTATAGAATGGATATCAATTCACTAAAGTCGGTGCAGCGAAGAATGACGAAAATGATTCCGGGACTTAGAAACCTTCCATATCAGGATAGGTTAAAGAAACTTAACTTGCATTCCCTAGAAAGACGAAGAGTGCGGGAGATATGATAGAAGTATTTAAGTGGGTGAAAGGAATCAATAAAAGAGATATAGATAAAGGTCTTATAATATCCGAGCAGGATAGGACTCGGAGCAACGGATTCAAGTTGGATAAGTTTAGGTTTAGGAGGGAGATAGGAAGAAACTGGTTCACAAATAGGGTGGTAGACGAGTGGAACAAGCTTAGCAACTTTGTAGTAAGTGCGGGAACTCTGGAAAGTTTCAAAAGGAGGCTAGATAGATTCATGGATGATAGAGAGTGGTTGTAACTCTCGACAGGAGCTGCCATGCACAGGCCAACCGGCCTATTGCAGACTCCTTATGTTCTTATGTAAGGTTAGGTTAGGTTAAGTTAGGTAAGGCTAGGTTAGGTTAGGTTATTTTAGAGAAGTGTTCATAAACTGTAAAATATTATTTTAATTTTTTTATCATTTCTCCTGGGGGACTTTTGTCCTAGGGGGCTTTTTTCCTACACTCGTGATTTTATCAAGTATATATATATATATATATATATATATATATATATATATATATATATATATATATATATATATATATATATATATATATATATATATATATATATATATATATATGCAATAAAATCACTGGAGGTGCGCGTGATCCAGGTATGTGCTGATAACCACAAGGAAAAAGAAAACACTAGGAGGCATTATCCCAGTCAATGCAATGTTTATTATCCCTCAAATGAACGAACAGAGCATTGGATAATACAGTGTTAGGACAGGCCAGGAATCCAATGCTCTGTTTGTTCATTTGAGGGATAATAAACATTGCATTGACTGGGATAATGCCTCCTCAATATTACCTTGTAATTCAACTGACAGTAGGAACATCATAGAATCTAGTCTCATTAAACATACCGAATCCGTTAACATGAATTGGACAATTTTGTAATTAAGAAGATTTGTAACCAGGTGAGAAGGTTGGGTCAGTTTTCCCTCTGACCTGACTACCGACCGCTGCGGTGCTTTTGTAAAGATTAGTAGGGTCATTACCTATACTTGACCTCTGTGGGCGTGTTCTAACCCTCCTCTGTATATATATATAACTTGTTCTGCACTTCTGTTTTAGTCTGTACTCACCCCTGAAGATGTGAATTACACGAAAGCGCTTGGGATATTTACATCCTAACTTCTAGAACTTCAGTGTACAGTGTATACTTCAATGTTTCTTGTTAGGAAGCTTCTGGCTGGCCATTGATGATCATGTAGATCATCAAAATTATTATTTATGAATATTTTCATAGAAAACCTAACTTAACGAAACATAGCCTAACTTAACCTTTCTTAACATAATTCAGGTATTATTTGCCTATCCTATGACGGTAAATAACGTCTTAACAGAAACATAAAGTTTTACTGAATGCAAATTTATTTTCCTTAAGTTATAGTAATAAAAAAATTCCCTATTGGGGTAAACCATCTGTTATTTTTTTAAATTTAATCGGCGATTATCCCTGTCAATCGGGGAGGTACTACCGCCTGGGAAGATAATGGAAGCATAATGTGTTGTCTAATGGTAGACCCTGCTGCCATATGGCATCACGAAAATTGTGACCAAGTCCCAGGTTGCTTATCTGACTTTCTGCCTCATTTACACACAATTGCAGGGTCTCAATTGTTTCTCTTACCCTGACAAAACAACATACATATATCGTTTCTCACTATTGATTTTTTTATATCGTCCTTCTTTATTATTATGATCATACTCACTATCATTATATTTAATTTAATATTTTTTTATTTAATTTTTTTTTATTATGGCCCTGATGTGGGCCATTGAACTGTGCCCTGGTGGGCTAATCTCGTAAAAAAAAAGATAAAATAATATTTATGCACTATATACTGTACACTTTAGGCGCCGTTGCCCCGTTTGCGAAATTGCCCAGTTAATGAAGTGGGCAATTTTACAAATCACACAGGAAAAGGGGAAAACTGGAGCACCTTAGCTTTCGTCTTTATTCAAGATATCTTCAGAGGTAACTGAATTTACAGGGATTAAAAGAGGCTCATGTACAAAGGGTGACCTACATAACATCAGGTCAGGTCGATAACATGGGATTCACTTATCCACACAGCACCTTCACCACACTCGAAAGAAGAGCTTATATAAAATGAGCGACGTAACAAGTAAGGTCAAGTCAGGTCAAAAACATGAGACCCACTAATCATCT